CCTGCTGATGAAAGACATTTTCAGGTTTACTAATAGGTTCTATTTATTTAATGGTCTCTTTTTGTGCTTGCCTGGTTTGTCTGTGTGCATATATATATGTGTGCATACATATGTGTATATATATGGTATGAATATGTATCATGTTCATAGAATGTCATGTGTATGATGTCGATAAACAAAATATGAGGAATGTAAGGTCAGGCCAGATTAAATGGTCATTCTGGACTTAAAATCTGTCCCTAGAAGTTCTCTCAGTGTAATTTAGGCTCCTGCTATGCAGCAGAAGCAAAATCACGTCGCTTCTTTGCTGTAAATGACTGAAAGCAGCTCAGTTCTTTTTGAAGGCTCCAGCTGAGCTGAGCAAATCTACAATAAAATGGGTGATTTGAGGCCCAAACAGTAGTGCAGCTGCAGTGTTTGGAAAGGGAAAGGAAGGATATACCTGGGGCAATGCTGTGTGCTTCGCTAGTGGGCTCAGACAAGATGCTTTACCATTTCTTTTCTGTTTATTTGTGCTCTTGGAGAAAATTCTTCACTCTGAATCTCTGATAGGAAATGTTCTAAAACATCCTCCAGCTGCCTGAGGCAGCTGGAAATGGTCTGTGTGCTCAGTGAGGGATCCACCAAGTTGGGATTTGTTTAGCCAGGCTGAGACATTTCTAATATAGATTTCTGGGTCTCCACCTGTCAATTACTCTCCCTTTGTAACCTGTAGAGAGAAATAAGCTTTCCAGCCTGTCATATATCTAGCCCTAATGTAAACATCTAAAAGGGGCTGCTTCTGTTGTACTTCCTTATAAATCTATGAGAAGAATTGTAAGGCCTTTAACTAGACCACAGAAATTAAATTTCCTCTTTATAAGGGAAAATCTAAAATAGTTGAGTTGGACTGTGAAAGTATTTGGCTCCACTTTGTACCTGTGGTGTGCTGGGTGACAGACTTTCCAGGTTGTGGAGAGGATAACACTGTAGATGCTTACCCATACGCTTCTCAGCACTTGTGTGTGCAGTGTTACAGGATTTTTATGCTCCGGAACAGCCAGTCCACTATGAGCAGGTGGAGATTTGTGACACTGCATTTTGGAAGAGGTGAGATGAAGAATAGTTTAGCTTCAAGTCAGAAGTAGCAGTTATCTGAGAGACGATACTTTCAGTATTGAGTGATGGCTGTTATAAAATTGCTGACAATCTGTCTATAGGATAGGGGTTTTTTAGGTTGTACTTGGGTTATAGAGCACAGAACAGACTGCAACTCACCCAGGTTTTCTGAAAAGCCTTTTATTTGTTTTGATTAGTGAGCCCACCAAACAAACCCCCTGAAATATCTTATCCAAGAAACAACTCCATTGAAGTGGAACTTGGTAAGTAGTTTTCTCTAGAAGAAAATATGACTTCACATCCTAATTAAAATTTGTATTTGAGGAGCGCCTTATTCGGTGGTTTTTTGTTTTTATTTTGGACAAAAACTAATTCAGTGTTCTCTAGAAGAAAATATGACTTCACATCCTAGTTAAAATTTGTATTTGAGGAGCGCCTTATTCTGTGGTTTTTTGTTTTTATTTTTGACAAAAACTAATTCAGTAATCAGCTCAGTTTCTTTATGTTGATCTCCTGAAGGAGGAGTGTTTGGGAGGGAGAGGGAAAGATTTTTCATGGTCCTAGAGAAATTTCTCACAGGCAAAGGAAATTGTAGGGAACCCGAGTGATTCTCTGTCACATCTGCTGTTTCCATCACTCTGGTAGACATTCTAAGAACAAATCAGTCTTTGAATCTGCAGGGGAAGGGTTGCCCCAGTGGGAGGCATCTTCTTCCTGAATTTATCCTCTTCCATCGTACCACTCTCTCTCTGAACCTGCAGATCACGGAGTATACGGACCCTCTGCTAGATTCACTTTTCTGAAAGGGTGTGGGACCATCCTTAGCTGGGCTCTGTGGAAGCCTGTGAAGAGACTTGTATAGACTTTAATTAGATTATGGCAATTAACTTTTCACTTTGTAACATGATTTTGTAGGCTCACACGTTACAGTGGATTGCAATACAACAGGAGCTGATGGGTATGAGGTGTTTTGGACAGGCAACGGCGTGTATATTGACATATTTTATGTGAGCAGAATTTTTGCAAGTCCCTATGCGTAAGTATACTTTCAGATTAGAAAAATAAACATGTTGGCAACTAAAGTGGAACTTTCTGTCTTTGACATTAAAACTTTCAGCAACATTTCTCGCTTGCTTAAATAGCTTGCTTCTTAAAAATTCTAATGCTTGCCTTCTCCAATTCTCTTTCTGCTTTGAAGTAGAAACTTGAAACATAATAGGTACAAGGCCTTCCCATGGGATTGTGCTGTTTTTAGCCATTGCAAAAATCTGTCTTAATTTCCGACCTTGGGAAATGTGTTTTGTAGTCTTAAAATTTCTGCTGAGCAGGCTTTGGCCTGGTAGAGACCTCTTTCAGTTTGTATTGAGCACATCCAGGCATGTGATCTTGAGACTGCCTCTTTTTTCTGCATTCTCCTTTCCCTTCACATCTGCCTCTGGAGAAACTGAGACTTCTACACTTAAGAGCCTTGAGTTAGAGAAGTGTAACTGACATCAGCTGGAGAGCTAATGGAAGGCTTTGTTGAGGACATTGGTAGTGAAGCTTAGTAAGGTGAGAGGAGAAGTAGTTGGGGCTTGGAAGGAAAATGGACTTGGAACTGAGTAAAGCGTGAGAAGGGCAGGTGGGAAGGTGAAAAACAGGTTAAATGGAGTCAGGAGGGAAGAAATTAGACCTGACTTGAAAAAGCAACTAAAATTGGAACAGAAGGCAATCTAGAAGTTTCTTAGGTATGAAAGGTTATGAATTAAAAATTTCAGGTTTTTTGTCAGCTCTCATCTAATGATGGTGCTATTGTCAAGCACTGTATGTGACTGAGAAACTGATGAAGAAATGAGAATGGTATTTTCAAAGTAAGAACGTAGTTGTAAGAAATGGCTTATTGTAAAACAAGGGGGGAAAATAAGATGCTGAACACTTTGAGTGCTCACCGAGAGAAAACTCTATACAAAAGTAGTATATTGTATTGTCATAAAGAATTGTAATTAAATAAACAATTGGGCTGTAACACAGAGACACACAGTCACTGAACTGATATCATAAAAGCAATGGTATTTTTTCTACTTCCTGGGACTTCAAATGATCATCTTTTTCAACTGTTAGTCATTTACATTAGTGATGTTGATTCATTCCTTCCTTTTGACAGTATTCAAATTACTGTAAATTTTTGCTTAGAAGGTGATTGGTGCAGTCTTACATATGCTCTTTACATATGCTTTTATTTTGTTTTTTAAGTGGTAACTAGAGTACGTTTCCAGGAATGAATAGTGCTTGGCTAAGTAGACTAGCTAGTTACTTTTGTGTTTGAGATCTCCTATTTAACAAGATAGTGGTGTCCTTCATTTTGCTGGTGGTCAAAAAGTTGTTTGGTTCACGCATCAGTCATGGATCACAGTACACATGACTAACATAATGAGCATTTTTGTGCCCTTGTACAATGTCTGGAGGATAATCTGTGTCTCTTAATGGTGCAGCCTGTTGCTTTAGCTGTCGTAAATCTGTTTGATCTGTGGGGTGAAGCAGCAGTTCAGACTCCACTCTCTGCATCTGGAATCACACTGGGAGTTGGTGTTGTCTGCTGCAGGTCACCACCTTTGCTGTCCTCCCCGTCCCAGAGCTGCTTAACGAACAATGCTGCCCTTGTACCAAGGCCTCTTTCTATGTCATATCATGTTATAGAAATTCTCTCTCTGCCTATTCTTACAGGGGCTGGGAAGTTCATAGCAAGGGTTTGCTTAGGGTTGCAACATGTATTTATGTACTTCAGCCTATAGAACCCTTTGGAGAAACACAGGTCGTGTCCTGATGTTTTCCAGTGTCTACGTTAAATGTCAGTAAGGGGCCCGATCGTTGTTTGAACTTCCTTCATGTGATGTAGTTGCTCGCCTGTTCTGAAGCGTGGTTGATGTTTGCAGATGGGAACAGCCGTTGTCGTGCTGCAGCTGTTAGGGATGAAGCCGTTCCAAAAAGGGCTGTGGTTTTATGGCTCTATTTGTCGCCTTTTGGATAGGGAGGAAACTTCTTATGATGGACGCCCTGTGTATTCAGTGAAGCTGATAATTTCAGAGGTGAATAGCGAAGATTACGAACAACCGTTTGTCTGTCAAGCTTCAAATGCCTTCGGGCAGGTTGCATCTTATATTATATTAAAGCACAGAGGTAAGAAATACTGTTAGTTCCCAGAAGGGATTTTGATACCAGATGCTCATGTATCATGCTGATAAAAGGCAGATGGATTACAGTTTGCAGTACACAGGCACATACCTGTGCAGAGGGAAGGAGTCACTGTAGTAATGTATTTAGCATTATTAAAAAAATAGGTACATCGAGATGAAAGATATGATACTCGAATTTTTATTACATTTATGTGAAAAATCAGATTGGGACAAATTCAACATCTTAAAAATCAGCCTTGTTATATTTTTTTTGCAGTTCCTGATGCACAAAGATGGGTGACTGGTGGGCTTGTATCTTTTTTAATTTTAACATTTATTACACTAATTATCTACAAGTTTTTCAAGATTGACTTGGTGCTGTGGTACCGTAATTCCATCTGTGCCTTTACAAGTAAGGAAGGTATGTGAGTATGACCAGGTATGTTCGTGTAACAAGCCTGTGGATTTTTTTTCCACTTGCCATTACTGCTAAGCCATAATGTGATTACTTAGTAGAATGCCTGTGGGATTTCCTTAAGGAATTTTCAGATATGCACAAAGATATTTTTGGTTGGTTTTTTTTTCAGTCATATGGGTAAAATATGCCATCATGATTGAGGTAATAAACAATGCATAATAATACAGGCAGTCATGGTGAGATAGGTAAAAAAGAATTCCAGATTATTTCCAAAATATCTTGTTGCTTTTTGCTTTTCTGTGAAGTAGTTTCTTTGCATGTAGATTTATGGTCACTCTGATGATGATCAATAGGTGTCAGCAGAGCTACATCCTGTAAACTAGCTGTTTAAAGGTGTGCATTAAAATGCTTATATTGAAAATAGGACTCTCATTTTCTCAAAGATTGATCTTGTTGATTTTCTTCTTTTTTTTTTCCTTTTGTAACTTGTCTCTTTTACCTAATGCTTCCCTTATAAATTCCGTCATTTATGTTTACATGTGAAGGAGATAAAATGTTACTAGTTCACTATTCTGTGATTCTTACTGTATTTTAATTGCTGTAGTGTAGACAAATACATTGGAGAGATGTGAAAAAAATGGAGTAAGTGCTGCATTATAGATATTTTGCATTGCAGGACTCAAAATTAAACTGAAGTTCTGCAGAGCTTGAAAGTAAGTGGATTACGTGCAGCGAGATAGTTAACATTTACTCTAAACATTTTCACAGAAAAGTAATTTCAGCTTCTGGTTAAAAGGTCCGTTTTCCCCAAACACTTTAATAGTGCTGTAATGAAAAAAAAAAAGAAAAAAAAACAAAAAAAAAAAGAAAGAAACTATGCTTTGTAGCTTGTTGAGCTAAACACAACTTGTTGAGTTAAATCTGATTTTGATTTGGTTTCTTCATTCCTGTTAATTGTAGGATTTTAACCCTCAAAACTGCAGCTGCCTTCTGGCCTTTCCTTCTACCTGCCTTTCCCCTACAGAGTTATTGCAAGAAAGAGTTGACGTTTTCCACCCTTCTCTTATGGTTAGTCAGAAATGGAGATAACTGCTATTGGGTTTGTTTCAGGAAACATGGTGATGAAAGTACTGCAAGAGGACATGTTCTTAATGGCCTGGCACCTCTGGGAGTGGGGGCTTCTTCCTGCAGGTCCCAGGTCCTGCATCCATAGAATCATAGAATGTGTTGGGCTGGAAGGAGCCTTTAAAGCTCATCTAGTCCAGCCCGCCTGCAGTGAGCAAGAACATCTCTCGCTAGATCAGGTTGCTCAGAGCCCCATCAAGCCTGACCTTGAATGCCTCCAGGGATGGGAGCTCGTTTGCTGGCACATCCATCCCTAGGGTGGGGAAAGAAGTCAGGTTCTGTGGCTGATCATCTTTCTTTTGATTTGTAGAACATTTTAGTGCTTCGACATTGCTATTTTTAAACAGTCTACATGAAACCTTGTGACAAAGGATTATGGCTGGTTTTATTTTCTTTTAATAGAAACATTTATGTTTGTTTTAGATGGGAAAGTCTATGATGCATACGTCCTGTATGCAAGAAGCAGTGGAGACAGAAGTTTCTTTCGTCTGGAAACGTTTGTTCGTAGAATACTCCCTGATGTTTTAGAACAGCAGTGTGGATATAATCTCTTTATATTAGGAAGGGATGATTTACCAGGAGAAGGTATGCTTTAATTAGTAGAGTTAATAGTTTGTCTTTTGACACATTGTTCTTATGTTAGAAGGTAATATATTCAATTAAAAAACACCTATTTTTGGAAAACAAAGCTGTGTTTGTTTATTTTTAATGGATAATTTGTCCGATGGACAATTTTCTCAATTTGTTGATGTTTCTTACAAAAATTATATTCTGATTTTATGAACGTCTAGACTTTCTTTTTGGTGATGAACAAATGAGGATTCAACAGCATTAATACTGTTGGATCGTAAACGACAGTGTGAGTTTGTAAACCTACCAGTCCTCTGAGCTAGCCACTGCTCCATATAGATGCCATTTTAAAATTAAGAAGTATTTTACAATGGTTGTGAAGTTTCTATGCAAATTTTGATTGTTCCTTCATTCCTTACAGCTGTGGTCAGTGTTGCTGATGAAACCCTAAAGCAAAGCAGAAGATTGATGATTATTTTGGGATCGGAAGCATCTAGTTGCTGCCTGCTAGAAGATACCTCAGAACAACAGCTAGCCATGTATAATGCTCTCATCCGTGATGGGATTCGGGTGATTCTTATAGAAATGGATGAAGCACAGGACTACACAAGCATGTCAGAATCTTTCAGATACATTAAGCAAAAACATGGAGCTATCCAATGGAAAGGGGACTTCTCTGAGAAGTCTTGTTCAGCAAATACAAGCTTCTGGAAAAAAGTGCGTTATCAGATGCCATCTAGGAAGAAGGTATCTTACTCCGAAGTGTCTTTGTTGCCCTTTACTTCGAACAATCCTGCAGCAAAGGGAAGTTAAGATTATTAAAATAATACTGAGAAGGTAATTCTGAAGTGTATTTGGTGGATTTTTTTCCACACAAGTTCTTTATATTACAAATCTGACGTTTTCTTCAAGGAGTGAAAACTACTCATCCCTTCCCCAAAGCACATTCTAAAAGACCTCTGTCCAAATTTATGTCTGTTTTGGGTTTTGGATAGTCACACAATTTGTTGTGTTAGTCTCACACAGATACGAGAAGGAAACGTTGCTGGTGGTGTTAGACTGCTAAATAAATGTAAATTCCACTGAAGAAGCAGCCGTGAAGTCTATTTTTAAAAAAATTGAAACTGCAGTTGATTAAATTAAAAGTCTGTTTCTGTTGTCAGTGTTTTCCTAGTCTTTCTGATCTTGTTGCCTCTTCGTGGCTGTCTGACTTCCTCATTACTGCAGGAATTTGTGCTGTGCAAGCTTTGGGGTCCCTTCCTGAGCAACCAGCCTTATCCTTTCTTCTTGAAGGGGTCGGTGAAATGCATGACACAGCAGGTGTATTTGAAACTCCTCACAACACTAGATGTGTCTAAGCTGAACAGTGGTACCAGATGTGTTGAGTAAATGGAAGGGGTTCCGTGGCTTTTTAGACATTTGTTGAATAAGGGTGTTTCTAAACTTAGTCTCTTGAAATGGTCATGAAACTGAATATGTTTCAGATTTCTTGCAAACGGGAAGCTTTCTAGCCTGTGCTGCTACTCTGGAAACCAGATATTCTTGTTCTATATCTCAGCTGTGCTAACTACAAGCACAGAAATTCACAGAGAGTCTTTCAAATGACTGTGCTTGATCTGGGTAGCCTGGTGAGAGTGGAAGATGGCCAGTTCTGAAACATGACCAGGTGCTAATGGCAAGGAACAATACTTTATCTTCTTGTAAAAGAAGAAATTAGAGGTTGTATCAGCCTGCTTGGGAGCGGCTAGATGTTTCTGGACCCCAATCCATTGTTCTTTGTGCATCGCCATGAGAAAACAACGTGCTGCTTCCTTTTCAAGGTGGTCTGACTTGGCAGGAGTTTTCCTGCTCCAGCCTTGAAGAGCATCATCTGAATGCAGGTGTGAATTCTGCTTGCATTTTTCTGTTATTTTCTGAAGTTGGCTCTTACATCATCACCAGAATAGCATCACTGAGTTCCTTTTCAGCTTTTTCTTAAAAGTGTGTTTGCTGTAGGATATACTCTTCATTGGGCTGTATTGATCAGAGAGAAAGCAAGGTCCGGGAGTGGAGTCTTTAAAAAATAAATTTAGGAACTTAGTTTAGATAATTGTTATTGTCAAATTTTTACATTGTGTTTAGACTTGGATTTGCTCAGAAAGTGTTGAAAATTATAATTTCCTTTAAATATTTTTTTTCACCAACAGCTCTCTTATTTTTCATGTAGAATGAGATAAATGATAAAGAAAAGATGTTGAAACTGTGGTAGATTTTTTCCCAACTTCCTAATGTCATGTGCGTTGTAGTAAAAAAAATACCAGTGACCCTAGGATTTGCGGTACTACAGGCAAGTACATTGACTTTCGTGGAGTTGTGCTGATATTTTTTTTGTTTCTTCTGTGAATGTGCTGTTATGATTTCTGGCCAGTTTTTTCATAGTTCTTTTTAGACATTTGCTGCAATATTCAAGATAAGAATTTTCCCACTAAATGAGACTCCTAAAGACTTAAGTGCAGATGGGTTACTGTAAGTCAGCATTTAGCTACGTGATACTTTCTTTTAAACAACCACATTTAGTATGATTATGTAGACATTTTAGTATTCTTGTGTGAAAATGAGTGTGGGAGAAAGGTTTCAGTTGTTGCGGTCAATTATTAGCTAACTACTTGAATGCAGCACAACATGAAGAGGTTTATCCGTTTATCATGGGATTTTCTTTCCAAAGCTGAATTTTTGTCTGTTTTCTCCCCTTGGAAACTTTTTTTATTTTTGCAAGTCACATAGGAAAACATACTCGTTTTTTTTTGTGTTGTACAATAAAAGAAATTCCATAGGGATAGATTTGCTGGTTGCTCTGTATTAAAAAATAACTCCACAAATGATGAGTTGGCTAGTGGCCTCCTTCTGGAAACTTGGTAGCTTCAGAGGGAAAAGGCAAATGCAATGTAGTTTGTGAAAAAGTAATCATTCACCACAGTGTAGGAGATAAATTATACCCGTCCTCTTTGTTTCCTATTTTTCAAATATGCATAGCTAACTGTTTCTTCTATTCCATGGAAGTGGTTGACTTGGACAAGCAGTTGGATTTGGAAAGAAATTCAAGATATCTACTCTTATCTTACCTCTCATGCCTTGGGAAGCACACTTGAACTGTATCAACAGAATCTGAACTTTCTGGGTGAGGTGTAACACAACCACGTCATTTCAAACAGAGCGCAGGAGAAGTGGCAGGACAAATGTCCCTCTGTCGGAGTAAAGAAGTCACAGACAGGTAAAGGAGGTTATAAATTCTCCCACCTACAAAATGGCAAATAAGCAACAAATTCATGAGTTACAAACAAAATAGGATTCATCTGTCCCCTTAAAACAGGAAAAAAAATTGGCAGTTAACTCCCCTGCATATTGCCGACAGGAGCAAATAGTGAAAAAGCTGAAGAGCTGTCTTGACAGGGACACTCACAGTGGGGAAGAACGTGTGTGCCATATGTCCCCCTGCCATCTGTGTATGCTCTCTTCTGGGTCATGACATCTGGTTCTGCTTGATATCTGGCTCCAATTCCTGTATTTTTAGAGTAAACGGGACTTGATTCTCCTCAGAGACTAAAGAGAATAGACCACACGCTGACTGCTGTGAGAAAAGCCAAGATTTTCATAAAAAATATGTCTCCTCAGCCCAGATCCGAATGGCTCGCTACATGTATGTAGCTAAATGAGCCAAGGATGTGCCAGCACCGTCTGCTGTCACTTTTAAAAAACTGCTAACTTTTTGCATAGTTTTCCTTTTTGGAGGGTTGGGCAGTAAAAGTTATTCGAATACCTAAATTAGGGGTATTGTTGAGGAAAGGATCACATCCAAAAGAGCAGACGACTGAGGATGAGAATGGATCAGGGGTCCTGGGTTGAGGGTCAGTGAGGGAGTAGGAACATCTACTGTAGGAAGAAGCCCTGGGGATCCTGAATCTGCACCCGTACTGCACTGTTCAGTGCTTTCACCTAGTAATGCCCAAGACCAAAGCTCTCCCCTGCCACTCTCTTCACGTAAGATCATAACAAAGTTCCATTGCTAATAATGCCAAGCCATAAAACCAAAAAAAACCCCCAGCCTGAACAAAACAAGGCCAAGAGGGAGTCAAGAAAACAGAAGATATTCTCACAACTGCAGTTCTGAATTAGACTGTAATTATTATTTGTAGGGCTTTCCCCATCCTTTTTTTTGTAGGAACTAGCAGGGAATTTAGTCGAAAATGAGATTTTTTGCCTTTGAGTCTGTACATCTGTTAATTCAGTGCTTCAGAATTAATTAGAATGTGGGGATGAGTGGTCTCCTGTAGAGCTATGTTTCTTAATTAGCCTCTGGCATATGTCAATTAGATCTGACTGTATTATGTTGAGCAACACTTCCCATTGATTATTCCAGGAAAAAAGACCGTGAGTGGAGACCACTTCCTCTGGGATCTGCATTCCAGCAGATCAGCCAGGCATGATGGCTGGAGGACCATTACCAACCATGTGCTGGAGTGGGTCCAGGGGAGAGCAACGAGGCTGGGGAAGGGACTGGAGGGAAAGTCCTGTGAGGAGAGGCTGAGGGAGCTGGGAGTGTTTAGCCTGGAGAAGAGGAGACTCAGGGGGGACCTTATCACTCTCTACAACTGCCTGAAGGGAGGGTGTAGTCAGGTGAGGAGAGTCGGGATCTTCTCCTGGGCAATTAGTGACAGGACGAGGGGGCATGGCCTGAAGCTGTGTCAGGCAAGATTTAGGTTATATATCAGGAAACAATTCCTCAGGGAGAGGGTGATCAGGCGTTGGAATGCACTGCCCAGGGAAGTGGTGGAGTCACAGAATCACATCATCACATCGATCCCTGGAGGTCTTTAAGGAGACGCTGGATGTGGCACTTAGTTCTGTGGTTTAGCTGAAGTGATGGTGTTGAGTCATAGGCTGGACTTGATGATCTCAGAGGTCTTTTCCAGCCTCAACAATTCTGTGATTCTGTGTGCTTCCCAGGCAGTTGAGAGTCCCTTGACATGACTTGACATGATGAAATATGGGGAATTTGTGCCTGATTTAACTATCTAGCCCACTCTGCTGGGAACAAATGGATCTCATAGTGAGAAAAACTTAGAGTCTGGGGTACTGAGGTGTTTGTAGGACCCCAGTCTGCAGGCAGACAGTGGGCAAGATTCAGAAGCTCTCGAGTCCTTGGAGAGTTGCCTCAGGGCTGCCATCATACAGAGGCAGTCAGGTACATCATGAAGACCTTCCACACCTGATTGTTACAACATTCCTGGGAGCAGAGAGCACTGACTTGTTCTCCCTGGCTCTGACAATTTGGGAGACCATTTTTACAGGCAGTATCTTTGCTACCTGAAATGATCAGTCCTCAATCCTTTCCTTGCATGATATGGTTAGGCCCAAAGGGAGGTTGCAAACCCTCTTTTCCCTGCTGGTAGCCCTTTTTTTCCTTTTTTTTTTTTGTTTCTTTGTTTGTTTTTTTTTTTAATTAATCTACAGCCATGTGATTTGTAAGTTGAAGAGAGTTTGCAAAATGGTGAAGGTGAGACATTGTAGAAAGTAATTACAGCAATTAGCACAGGATGGCTGGGGCAGAGTGCTTCTTGATGCTATCATGAGTTCAAGGAGTGGGTGAATTTTGCAGTGAGCACTCAGAGGGCAATTTTGTAGCAATACACATACTAGGGTACATGAAGATCATCTGATGACTGAAGGGTCCAAGAGCAGCCCCAGGCACGCTTGTGTGTAGACCCTCAAATGTACAGTGCTGCCAAAACTGAAATTTTCTGCCTCAGCTGAGGGGAGATTTTGAGCAGTTACTG